TTACAGAATTTGCACGCGTAAATCGCGGAGAACGCTATCTTGTGTTTATAAGATCTTTGGTATAAGCTTCTCCAAAACTTTATATGGAAAGCCAATTTCACTATTTTTCAAGTTCACATCAATTTATGAGTTTCCTTTTGATTATTAGAAGATTTTTCTGGTTAAACTTTATCTTAGGACGTAAATAATTATAGTGTATAAAAATGCATTGTAATATAGTTACATTATTGGCGAACTTATCAATTAGTTAATAGATGTTGTAGATACGCGAACGGCGTATCGTGATTCGAACCTCATGACGTCACTTCTCGAGGTGAACAATCGGCGGTGACAAGCGGGTAGAAACTGCTTACAAAAGTCGAATTTTCTCGTTAAATCCCAGGTTTTGCACGACGCAACATCAAGATATGTTCTTTCCACTATATATAGTACCTACAGTTTGAGGTAGGAGCTTATACCATGGTTAAGGTGCTTTTTGACTGGACTATAATATTCATTAATTTAGTACAGCGTGACTATACTATAGCGTAAAAAAACCCATTATAGTGGGATTTTCCCAACTGCTGGAAATAGGCATGTTACATTGGAAGTTGTCAAAGGTAGAAGCCATTGACAATTCACTTTTTCAAATTTTTCGCTGCTTCATATAACTGATCACGTCTGGTACTTCTTTGGAGTAGGCCTAAGTAATTCCAAGTGTTAGCAGTAAAGTAGACCTGCTTACTTATGGCTTTTCCTGTTGTGGCGGGCGAGATAGTGAATTTGAATGTTGGAGGTTGCATCTATACAACAAGTCGCTCTACGTTAACACGTTATCCGGATTCAATGTTAGGATCAATGTTCAGTGATCGGTTGCCAACAAACGTAGATGATGGCAATCGCTACATCATTGACAGAGACGGTCCAACATTTCGACACATTCTAAACTTTCTCCGTCAATCAAAGCTTATCCTCCCAGACGGTTTTCAAGAGTGGGATATTCTATCGGCTGAGGCAGACTACTATCAAATACAAGAACTCATTCAGATTATCAACGAAACCAGACAGAGTGCTACAGCCTACGAATTTTTGGAGGTGGAATATAATCCGTTAGGTATTGATAAAACACTGCGCATTTTTTGCAAACCAAAACTAATCGAGCAATCGTTAGCAACTGCTATTGATTTTAAGTTGGAAAGTACAGGAAAAGAACATCGCTTACGGTCTAAGTCTCGTGGATACTCTATGGCAGAATACTCTGGATATAAATTCGAATTGTCATGCTACGTCGGGGATAGAATACATGTAAATCGATTGAAGTTGTTCAGAGAGATAACCAAAATTGGCTTTAGATTGATATCTACTGCCTCCGGGTCTAACTGTAGCACAGACAGGTGGACATTTTCAAGAAAAGAGATTGCCAATGACTAAATAATAGGCCAAATTGTTCTGTCTTTTAATATAAAGTATATATTCTTAAGGTTAGAGTTAGTGCACCATCTCTAAACATTTATTTTTAATATTAGCTTATCAAATTGTATAGTTTTCTATTTGATTTTTTAGCTATTGTGATCGTGTATTTTATGAACCTAATGTTTTTATGTGATAGCCCCATGGTCGATAGCAACCACTGTTTTGGGTCAACCTCAGTAAATTTGAATAAAAATAAAATAATCATCACGAAAACGTTGTGTAAACTATTTATTACAGGCCCACTACCGGCTAAGTAGTGCATTTTTAACCTATTTCATCATTTGATTCGGCTAGCGGGGGAGGGCTGTGAGCCGTCAGTTCCCCTGGGGAGACGGGAATTTCCAAATGCTGCGTTTTAAATTTGAGGAGGCGAATTTTTAATTTAAAGAATGAACATTCTAGGAATAGGTAAATTAACGTTTTTACCCTCCCCCTAACTCTAATGGCCTAGTAAATATCGTATACTAATGATAATCGGAACCTTCGTAAGAGGGGCTTTCGTAGTCTCAGTAGCTGTTCTAAAATAACTTAAAAAATGTGTGACACGTGTGTGTTATTGGAAGTTACCACTAAGATTGTATCAACTTCCATTCTGTTCTATCAGTAATAGGATTAAGTGGCAATCTGAGAATAGGCCCTAATTCCAGTGTTTTAAACTAATGCCTGATCCTGCGATGAGGCAGAGAACGTTCTGAAAAAAACGCTTTAGTTTTTAGTTTGTTGTTTGTTTTTCTTTTGGAATGACAGATTGTCATTAAACACGATCGTTGCGCGCGCCTAGTTGGCAGCAGGTGACATGGTACTCTCGCCGTATAGGGCCTTTTCCGTGTCAGTATGAAACGCATTGAGTGCCTTTTAAGCCACTTAATATGGTTAGCTTTTTCATTCGTATTTTAGAACGTACATTTCACAGGGAGAGTTTATTGAACTATTTAAGGAAGGGGAAAATATCGCCATGGTTGTATTAATATTTGATATGTCCATGTTCGAGTTTATCTCATTACAATTAATCGAACACTTACAATACACACACTTATTTGTTTTCATTCCAATACAGAATCAACATATCAGATTGTTGCACATTACTTAAAACCCGTTCAGTCCCATAAGCGCTTTAAGCGCTCTCTAATTATCGTCAGTAATTAATCAATTAATTAACAATAATTAAAAAAAAACGTATGTGCAGTAATGTGTGCATGTATTTTCATTAAATATTCGGGAAAATATCAAAAAATTTTATAAAAAAATGTTTCTTGGTGCTTTTTTAATTAACTTGAATGATTAGAGTAATTAAAAATATGAAATATGATGTTATTTTTGTAATATGATACCCTTGAACGGGAAGGCGCCGCCGTCAACACTGATGAATAAAATTGTCTAAAAATACACTTTTTTTCAAAAAGTAACAAATCTGACACTTTCCTATAATATAAATATATATTCAATATACATACTGTACAAGTTTTGGTTATTATATCCTCATATTTCCACGTAAAATTAATTTTTTTTGTGGCTGAAAAAAAAAACGTGGCTATCAACTTCGTCAGCGCCATCTTTGTTGTTTACAAAAATGAAAACGAACCCTGACATGACCGTTGAACTTTCGAACTTTTTGGTTTCCCTGTGACATGCGCAATCATGACGTTGAGATCCATCATGTCAAGAGCTCGAAAAAGACACCTTGATCGCCTATATTATCGTAATTTTTCATATTTTTTAGAATTTTTTTTTATACCAACCGGATTTTTGAAAGATTATAGGTGCGTTTTCCCACGTCTTTGTATGGGCGCTAGGCGAATAATTAATTTATGGATTTTACGTCGCGGGGTAAGTTAGGCTTTTTCAGGCTACGGTGCGTAGTGCAGTGAA